GGATCCCCAGTGCGTTACAAACTCACTCCGATGGGCCTTGACCATGCGTCCATATGTGATGAGTTGGGAGTGAGAATGGGATGGTAACTTATGTGCCCCACATAATATACAATTATGCAACATAAAGGTGCACCACAGTGGAAGACCCATTCAGTACAGTAATGTTACGTACTATGGCCTAACTGTTAATAAAGTATGAAAACAATCTCATTTATAATGTTTAGTGTAGTTGACAACCCATTTTTGTTATCATACAAGAAATGTTGCTATGCTAACACTGCTGAGCTTTTCCAATGACAGATACACAAATAGTTATTGAAAAGCTGTCGGCTAAATGCAGTCAATGTAGCGTTATCATGCAACAAGCATGGATTAGTTCAACGTCAAGCTGATAAAAATATTACTGTACTGGGTTCCCTTGCCTCTTTTGTGTTATTCAATTGAAGTGAAAGTTTAAAGATCACATTTATGTGGTTGTGGCTTGAAAGGGGGATTGCTGTCTGACAGTGAATGCACAGAGGGGTCCATGTCAGTGATTGCATAGTGTATTACATTAGAACCATGTGCTGAGGTGTATGTGAATTTTCCTAAAGAGTCTACTCATAACCTAGCATTCATTATACAGATATATGGCCCAAAAGAGATGCACTACCTTTCTGCCACTTTGATTGATTTTGGAGTCAAGGTTGTTCCGATGGTTGGTAAACAGGGGAGACTGACCAAGCACATGGTTGTTGCTCTGTGCTCTGTGTTTACTTCCCGTCTGTCCAGTCAGATACCAGTTGTTTCCCAGGGCCTGGAAATGGGCAATAGAGGTAAAGATCCCTATCAGTTGTGCCCCTTTCAATAACACAAATATTGGAAGTCTTTAAGATACAACAGCAGCTTCTCTTTCCAATCACTCGTATGAGATGAAAGCTGGGTGCATGTATTGGAGGTCAATCTGAAGGTTGTCAGTTCAGTCCATCATATGTGGCCATCAACACCTAAAAGCTTTGCTGCACAATCAACATCCTCACATTTACTGTCTTAGAGTGCTCTTCATCGAAATACAGTGCCACCCTTTCAAACACTTGGCCCTTTTTTTTAATTACATGTGCTTTTTTAAGAATGTCTGAACTCTGAGTTTAAAAATGCCAACCACTGATTAAAAGCCAAACACTGAAATATGATTCCTTAATATGTGCATTTCACTTGCCTCACACAAAGGTAATTCACTTGGTGTTAAAGGTGGGGTATGTGATTCTAATCTAATACACGTCTTTTTGTTAAATTCAACGAATATCTTGTCAGCGAATATTACAGTCAGCTAGCTGTCTATTCTGTGTATGTGCTGAAAAAATCCAGTGTTTGTACACAGCCTTGGCTCTGTAAATAGGAAACAAACAAAGTGACTACTTGACCATGGACATTTAGCTTACTTTCCAGTTTGCCAAGATATGCTGTTGTTGTGATGTTAGCTACTGTGTGTATACATATATACATGTATATATATACATGTATATATATATATATATATATATATATATATACATGTATATATATACATGTATATATATATATATATATATATATATATATATACACACACACACACACACATACTACACACAACATTAACAATAATACTACTACTAATAATAATAACAAAAGAACATGTACAAAAAATTGTAAGAGGAAACAATTTTCCCCAGCAAACAAAAATGTCATAGCTCATTGAAGTTTACACACTTTTAATCATTCAATGTGTACTTTACTTTGATGGTACTGAAATGGTATATAAGTTAAGGTAGACTGTTTTATCTATGTGGAGACAGTTTTGACAGAGAAATTACTAAATTCAACATTGCCGCTTCACTTTTTGGCACATTTAATCATTAAGAATTATACTTTAGTTATCTTTTACATTTCAGCCATGTTAGAGGTGTTGAAACATTGCTGTATTTGTTTTTTGGTTTGGATTCTGACAAAGGTTTGTAGATCCATATGTTTAGTGCCAAGCTTCATACATCTTTCCCACTGTGTGATCTATCTTGCAGAGGAAAGAATTCCAACTGCCATACAGACGTTGGATCACGTTCATGGAAAGGTTGCAGGCAGCAAAGTTTAAATCTTAATATCCTCAACTTCCAAGAGCAGTATCATGCTCTTTCCAAAAATCAATATCAAGCCACCAAACGATTCATCAACATGCTACAACAGGACTAGCTAGTGTGAGTCACTGGCAACACACAGGCTGAACTTTGAGCCATCCAGATTGTTCATGGTATTTCGGTTTTGTCTTCATCAAAACTCAGGCAGTTTCATGTATCCCATAAAATCTGATCAGCTATTCCGCAACCCAAACCTCTAGTCAAAAAAATGCAACTGGTGGCATTTCCTACTTACAGAAAAGTCGTAAACTTTCCCATTTATTTAACAACACAAATTCTTGCCTTGGCTTTGTTACCATTTTGCACATGTGAATATAGTATAGTAAATCAGTTGCTGAGTTATTTAAGGACCCACAGAACATCCATTACACCTGAGTGCTGATCGTATTGATTTCAGTAGTAGGATGACCTTACTGGTCATTGGGCTCAGTCCCTGCTGAGGCCATTTGCAGTCGTTTAAAGTTTGAATTGCTGTGCTGTGTTCTGTCCATATATACAACGCCAAAGGAGTTGGGGTTTTTGGCAAGTAATTCGGCAAAATAATAATGCACCTGCAGGTCTAAAGTTACATTTTCTGGATTTTTGATCCATTCACTATGAATACATGGCATTATGACAGGGACATAAATCAATAGAGTGAGCAGAGGCAGAGGCAAAGGCCCTAACAATCCCCAGATGTAACCAGGTAAGTATCTATAATTTCTGACTCCCACTGGATTGGTTTCAGCAACACCAGCACCTCAGAGAGGGTTTTTCGGTTCTCCAGCACTGCTGTTGGTCTACTTTACGTTCTACCAAATGTATTGTCAGAGGTTTATACATGTTCATTCAACAGTGTACATATTCACACTAATACGCACAACTGAATAGATGTGGATTGCAGTGAATGCCTTTCATGTTTTTTGAAGTGTTGCTCACTGCTTGTCTGAATCGCTCTTTGAAGACACTTTTAACTTCTGGTGTTGAAAGCTGTTTTTGGTTGTACAATGTGTTAGCAATGTATTGGCCAAACTTTTTCATCTTTCATCCAATAGAAAATCTCACTTCATGTTTGAAAAAACAACCTAAAATGGGGGGCATTTGCATAATAAACCAAAAAAAAAAGAAAACCATAATATGTTGCTCTTTCTCTTCTCTCTACTAGTTCACTAATTATTAACATTAAGTAGTTATCACTGTTATTAGCTTTCATCAAAACATACCAAATTGGAAGCAATCAGCAATTCGCTCTGATGAATAAAAAAAGTAAAAATAAATTTAAAAATATCCTTCACAGCTAAAAGACTTTAGCAAAACAAAAAATATGAGATTACTGATCTGTTTTTTTTTAAAGGTAAAAGAAAAAACATCTTGACAAAACTGAATAAATTATCACTTCAATAACAGGGAAAATATTTAACTACATGCTACTGCATAACTACTGAATGTACAGTTTTCTGTTGCATGCTGACAACATATATTCTGTGTCTAGGTCGATTACTCACCCAAACACCCACATCTTTCATCAGTAGGACTCATAAATTCAGACTGGCATTTGACCTGTGGCAATTTCTCCAAGAAGTTTGTTTGTTTACCTTTCTCCTTCCTAGCTTGGTGAGGTTGAGAGAATTTTAATTTGTTGAGCTATTGATGGTGGCTGCTCACTGCTCAGACTATTGGATATCAATAACATTCACAGTCAAAGAAAACAATGGAATAGCGATGTACTGTAGGGTAGCTGTACTGTAGCTCTGTACTTGGTGCTATTAAATAAATACCAAATAACAGTAAATGATTTTGTCAAATCCTGTGCGACATTGCAACAAATGAGTCTTTCCTTACAATATGTGGCAATACTTTAATTTAAGTTCCCGTATTTAGTATGTGTAAGTAGTACACAAGCATTTAATAAATGGTTTATACACACTTATTATAAACTCATATTAGGACATTAAGTACTTATTAATGTAAACTATGTGTCAACACTTCTCCTGTGAAGACATTTTAAATTAAAACTGTGTTTTACTATATTTGCCATTCATCATCTGTTTACATGCCAGCCTATACTTGCCCACTGGAGGATTTGACAAATAGATTAAAAAACTTACATCTGCTTACAAATACATTATGGTGTGTAACCCATGTATTAAATGTTTATATACACTACTTATGCTAAACAACTTACTATTGCCAGCCAGTGACTTAGAATAAGTGTGCTAATGATTTCCCACTTGCTTCAAACTAATATATATGATTATAACTTTGACTTAAAAGGACTGTACTTGCACAGCACCTTTCTACCACTCAAAGCGCTTCACTACATGTCACATTCACCACATTTACACACATCTATACACTGATCGCAGAGGCTAACATGCAAGGTGCCAACTGCTCATCACTTGAACTAATCATTCACACACACATAAAGAATAATCTTTCACACAGACTCACACACTGAAGGCACAGCCTTTTAGAAGCAATTTGGGCTTCAGTATCTTGCTGAAGGACTCTCTAGGCCAGAGCTGCCCCTGAAAAAAGTGACCAAAAACCACTGATCTTGTCCTTTGCTGAGCTAAAGCACTACTTATTATCTGAATGATAAATAAGAAATTTGGGTGCAAAATAATTTTTAAACTAACTGACCAGAACAGTTGCAGAAACATAATGATGTTGTGATTTCAGGGTAACTAGCCATTTCTATGAATGGTCGGAAGTTTAGCAACGTACATCACTTGATTAGTGTGCAAAGCCCCTCACCAAATAAGAATGAATATTTTTTCTCTAAGGGCAGTAGTGGCAGTTTTGGAAAACGCAGGAGAAGTTGTATTACTCTATGAAGTGGAAGAAATAACACACTTGGCAATGGCAGCAGATGAATAAATGTTTAATCACATCATCCCATCATTTTAAGAAACATAGTCTTTTATGTCACATTGAAGCAGTAAGGTTACTGTACACCACAAAGAGATATTCAGGCCAAAACAAATCATGTAAACAGTGTCAACATTATAAACAAGATTAGCAGATGATTTTCGAGGTTTTAGCCCACTCTGGAAACAACATACTGTATTGTTAACATCAAAGTTTGTTGAATTCAATCCAGATGTAAATGTCTGCCAAGCTTACAGATAATGCTTTTATGTGGTGATGATGCTTTGCAATAATGTTGAATCATAAACTCCCATCTGCCAGTTTTACTTTTGACAAGGCCCTAAACGCTCCTTCACTGCCTCTTAGACTATAATCTAAAACTTAAATGTCTCGTGGAGCATCCTAGCCATTAACAACTTCAGAGCTGCATGGCGGGAATCAATAATGCATCATGTTTTGCTTTACCATCTCCTCCACAGCTCATTACAAAACAACTTTAAAGGAAACAGGTCCAAGGGCAAACTGTAAGACAAGACAGATGGATAGATGAGAGCGACAAAAACAGAAGTAGTGGTAATCAGGCTGGCTAGTCTGAAAAGACTAGTCCAGTGGGAAAAGCATGACTTAGGTGCAGTATTACACAAGCTTCCATCTTGATTTGTCCTGCTGCCACAGGGCTGTCAATAAACCTCAAACCATTATAAGAATCGCTAACGCATGCTAAGCAGCTCCTTTCATATCTCTGGAAAGTATTTTTCCCTCGCTGCTTGACATTAAAAATGAGCTTTTTTCCACAAGTAGAATATGGTATTACTTTTTTTCAGTATGAGGAAATTGCCATGGCTTATATCCTGCAAAATCATAGTATTTTTTCCGCCTTATCACACATCAAATGCAAATTGTAATATTTCTTAATGTGTATTCCTTGAGAAGGGTAGTAAAACAAAATGTATATATTAAGAATAATGATCACTGCCTCACTGAACCTAGGTTGCACACCTTAAACTCAGAAAGTCTTTAGGTCCATCCATTTCTCTTATTAGCCTGCTCTTCCATCTTTTTATCATTCCACTGAACAGCATTAGATAAATTACCTCCTTAACGATGGGGGATGTGATCGATTTCTGGGTCAAGCGAGGACAGAAGACAAATGAGATTTACCTTAGAGAAAATACAATGTTGCCTACTGAAAAGACCTTCCTCACAGACAATATTTGGACTTGAACACAGTTGTAACTAGAATAATTTTGACACAGGCCCAGGTTTAAAATTCCTTTAATTAGTTGTACTTACCATGTTCCCCCTGCTGCAGATGCACCCCTAAAGTACCCCTGGTTGGTTAGGGGCTTTGTGCATACTGGCTCACAGGCATGACTTACTGCCAGGCATATATGGGAATGAGTTGTCATTAATGTCATTAGTTGCATTTGTCTCTTCCTGCTATGACAAGTCACAATATCTGCTGTGTTAAAGGTCTACAAGGACAAGTCATCCATTAATTATCATCATTATATTCACCTGCTGAGATCACCTCACCTGGCCTTGTAAGGAATTTTTTACTCTGATAAAGGTTAAAGCATTTCCTTTTGTCCAGTGTCAAGTAAGTACTATTTTTCTATTTTGTTTTTTTTTTTTAAGTCTGCTGCCTTCCTCTTATAAGATTCTTATTTTTGTTTTAGCACTTATCAAAGACTTTTATTCAGTGAAGCACACTTCTATCTCTACTGAGTGTCTGCAACATATTCATGTTTTATGTAAAATATCCAGAATGCATCTGAAACCATACGTTATGCAACAAAGATCGCTGTGACTGTTTATTTATCAACTACTGAATGCTGATGGGAAATTACTCAAAGATAGATTGGTGTCATTTGTGCTGCATACAGTTTTTTTGTTTGTGTGTATATGTCTGAGTTAAGGTCACAGACAAACCTGTAACTGCACCTGATCACAGTGAAGCTCATTATCAAAATACATTACTTTCACATTTTCAACACTTGTGTGGTACAAACAACATGGAGATAAAGAAACAATTCCACTTTGTTTCTAACTTCTGCAATTCATGAATTATTAAGTGTGGAGCAGCAGACAATCAGCAGTCAAGAATAAGAAATCAGTCCTAAGCGGAGAGTCACCTAAAAAAACTGGAGTTCTCCTCCTAATGAAATGCTTGCTCGAAGAGGGAATGAAGGATCGGAGGTGGAAGTGGTTGAACAAAATTGAGTGTGAGGAGGTTGATGCATTGGATCCACTTTTCCTTCGCCCTTCGCTCCGTTTCCCCCTGTATGGGTATAAGATGAATGAAATTAGCATACAGTAGACTGTAGGATAGACGTCCAACCCCAAATCATCTGTGTATGACTGATAAAAAACTCTTTGAGAATGAGTATAAGGGGGCATGAGAGAACATAATTCAAACCTAACCCAAAAACCTGCTTTTTTTATCGCAATCAAACTGAATGGTTTATCCTATTGCATTCATTCTAGACCTGGCCAGGCTCTGTATAAATGTGTTCATACAGGACATAACACTGCAATATACAGTACATCACACACAATAAGTCAAATCAATTACAGATACATCAATAACAAGTCAATTACCTTAAATGAAAAAAGCCTTCAGTTTCCAGTTATTCAGTAGCTTAACTCTTTTGCCATTTACACACAGTGTTTTTAATAACTATAAGCCAATAATCTTGGTTTGTTCACTGGACCGAAGTGAACAGTGACAAACAATATAGTCTCCAAAAATGTAAGAACATTTTGATATGATTCTGAAAGTTATTGCAGAACTTTAGTCATCATAACTTTTTTAAAAGTCAGCAGAAGGCTGACTTGACGCACAAAATATTTCATTTTCGGTGAAATAACTGAAGGTTATAAGAAACAAGAAAACTCCTCCAAACAGAACTCAAATAAATTGACAGAATAAATGTAATTATATGCATTTATGCTCTGACGTCAGTACATTTTAAATGTGTCTAAACAAGGAATTTTTGGCAAAGTGTCAAGATACTAAATTGACAATTATGACTAAACCCGAATCTTCAAAAGCTGGGTAGGAATTAGTTTGCTCAATTCCATTTTAATTCACAGTATGCGTATTAGCTTGGCTTGGACAGGACTGTCTGTCCACATTGACAATGAACTTCAGGTGTCATTTGCACTTGAGAGTCTCATTCATACCCAACCGGTAGGTGTTTCTTCCTATAGCCTGACAATGAGTTTTTCCTCATCTTTGCTCAGAATGATTTATATCGTTTACAAAAACAATTGGCAACGTTGCAGCCATAAAGCATCTCAGACCTCACATGGTAGTTTAAATAGTCACTTTTTAATTTGTTGGCTTTGGCTGAATGTACACTTTCAATTATGTGAGAGTGATTAGATCTCAGTTACCTTGCATTTTTTTTCATTCCATTTATGGTGTAATGAACATTACACATTTGTGTTAGTCACATTAGATAAGACTTTGGGTCATTTTAGTATTTTGATTATTTTCAGTGTTTACTAAACTGGTAAAGTTTTAATGCTGATGGGCATTACCAGCCATTACCATTTTAAATCCAACTTACCTCTAACTCAAGTGTTGTCTGATTAACAAAATACATTTTATTCTCTCATTTCTCATTTTTTTTCTTTCACTCTGAGAATAAGTCATATGGGGTAATTATATTTAATATTTTAGTGTCAAACATTAATATAAAATAAGATATTAAACCTACATGGCATCTATACATTTAATGTATTTTTAAGAGTAATTTAAATGTAAATAATCTGTGCAACAGCCAAATGCTGTGTCACATGTAAGACGCATTGCAGTACCTGCTAGTGAATCAAAATTTTACAAAAGGGAATCAGTTTGGACCACAGTTTTCTGCCTTAAATATCTCAGAATCAGTTGCTGTTTATTTCTAATCCCATTTAGTGTTATTCAGGCTGCACATACAGACTGCCATAAATACATTCAGACAATTAGCAGATCTGATTAACTTTGTACAACACCACAATTTAGATTATCAAATGATGCAAATACTTGTAACATAAATGTCAAACTCTTTCAAAGTCACTGTAAGGACGCAGAGCCAAATTTTACTTGACAAACTTTAAAGCATCTCTGCCAACTCACATTAAATCTGGCTATATTTATGCATGTGACTTGACCCAGTCTGAAAGGTAGTGCTGACTGGATAATGAACATAGAGTTGGGTGAGCCTGATCTGGTGTCTGTTGTACAGATTCGACACTCATAGGTAAAAACAGCAGCAAAGCAGATCCCATATCAGTCTCAAAAAGCTATTTCACCCCATAGCTAACAAGCACGGGGCACTAGAGACCACTAGCAAGTCAGACATTTTTTTTCACCTCCAGGGCCTTGTTCTTCTGAACTTTTAATAACCTTTAAACTACTATTTGATTGGAGGTCATAGTCCTTTAGGCAGGTAGTCTCTAATGGGCTCATTTTCTCCCTTCCTTGCAGTGACATTTTAGGTCTTCACATGTCTGTCTCGTTCAACTACACAGACACAGCCCCCGCTGAGAAAAAGCATTTGGAGCTTCTGAAATTCACTCTCATTGTTAAGTGGTTGGATGTCATCCTCACTGATTATTAAATTATTTACATTGCACTAAATTTGTTTTCTTGCTTTTGCTATCTAAAAAATGTGGACTCGATATTTACATTAGGGAGGGCTCAATTAATTTATTCAGGAGAGGACAAGGACAATCTACCAAAAACCATTTGCCAAAAAAGGTACCTTTGAGTACATATACACAATATAATGAAAAATAAAAGACACAACTAAGAGTAGAGAAAGACTGAATGCTAAATGAAAAGTAAATGATAGGACAAATGAGTCATATTGCCATACAGTTAACAAAATAGGAAGATGGACGAAGACGTGTCGTCCATGACTGTAATTAGCTTAAGGACAAACTATGGGTCTGACAGGACATCCACCCACATCTGTCTGATTAGCGTGGACTGTGTTGGCTCGCAAATAAAAGGCTTTCTGTCACGGTTTGGTGGTGAAGGTAGGGTTGAGCAGGTTGGAGGACCCAAATGCAGGACGCAAGGCAAAGGAGGTACAGTTCAAGGGGTTTTAACAAACAAAGGCCAGCACACTTACAAACTTGGTGGCTGATGACAGAGTCCAAAAACAAAGGCTGTCCAACAGAAATCCAAAAGGGGTGAAAACCAGAATCCAAAACTGAGCAGGGTAACAGGGAGACACGGTAAGTAAGGCTGGCGACACAAGAACAAACTGCAACACTGGGTGACAATAAACAATGACCCAACAAAGACAAGACAGAAACACCAGGTATATATACACAGGGACTAACGAGCAGGGCAGGAGCAACACAGGTGAAAGACATGAGGCTAACGAGGCACAGGTAGGGAGAGAGAGAGAGAGAGAGCAGGGGAAAACAGAGACAGACATGCAGAGGGATCACTGGGGTAACAGACATGACAAGGGTTACCGAATACTAGACGAAAGACAAGACAGACCCCCAAAACCCAACAGACCAAAAAAACGCTAACTAAACACAAAAGTGCAAAACACCGCATGGCAGACAGGCAGAGTGTGACACTTTCTGCTTTCAGGTCACTTATTACTAAAGTATAAATAGTGTTATTTTAAAAAGTTTACTTTTAAAATACAGTTGATTTATCAATAGGATTTGTAGTGGAATAACTTAAATAGAATTTCCAGGGACTGAAAACCACCCATCCCACATAGCATGTGTCAGAGACTATCATTTGTCAGTGGCCATTTGCCATCTCTTGTTGTCCAATTGTGTACCTGGCAGGCAGCAACAGGACTTAGCTGTGCCAAGAGGACTGTGGCCAGACTCGTCCTTGACTGAGAGCAATAATGCAGCACATATGGTGATAGAAAGAATGGGCGCCATTGATGGCTGAAGAAGCTGTCTCTCTTTGGTCTGGATGTATCACTTGGCTCTGATCAAACCAAATCTCTGTGTGTACGTTTGTGAAAACCCCAATCAGAGAACAGACCAGAGATAATTCACTGGCCTGAAGCAATCTCCCAAGAAAGGCAGAGGAAACATGAAAAAAGCTTTTGCACTCCATTTCTATTGCAAAATACTTCCTAACATCACACCCTGAATCTCATGCTGTCCTCTCTGTTTCTCATTTTTCATTTTTGTGCCATTGCTTTAACTTTCGTTCATATTTCCTTTTATAGTCAAATACAGTATTGGGCACAGACTGTAAACTTGTGACCAATTATCTGCCCAAACTAGCTCAAAATGTTGGTGTTTATCGCCTGTCCAATTAGTGTCCAAGGACAGAGTGAAATGCGAAAAGAGAAAAATGTTCAAATATAAGTAGTAATGAGTGGTGGTTGGCAGAGAAAAAAATGTTTACATCCATGTATGTACTTATGTGTTAAATACTTTGTGCTTAGTTTTCTGAAAGGATTTTTACTTTTTACTAATTAGTTGTGGCAGCTGTGATGGGCCAGATTTTAAATTATTTTTACAGATAAGGTGATGGCTTATTTATCACTGAATAAATCCAAACTATTAAAACTATGTTTATGTGAAGTGAGTGAGTCTAATGTGTTATTAACAGATATGCCTTCAGACGCAAAGCTGCACACAGGTACACGATTTTGAACCACAGTAAATATTGTATTGTATGCTCATAGTAATGTTGCTGTTGTGCAGCAGCTTTGCTCAGGTCTTATCAAAAACAGTCGGCACAGAGCTCAGCATTGTACAAAATCCCCACCAATTTCCTTTCTATCTACGCCCCAGGCTCTCAATAGATACAATGGCCAGTCCATTCATTCTATTTTGTGGCATGCTGCTTCACAAGTACTGTTTGATTTAAAAAAAAAAAAAAAAAAATCTGCTTTGTCGTTGTGACTCTGTTAGTGCTAATTTTTCCATCTTCAGTCCGCTGTCAGAACTCCCTGGGGAAATTCGTCTGTAGATTCAAAATTCGCTCGTTACCGAACTCTGCAGTAACTTTGTCAGACTTAATGACGGATCTTTTAATTGATGAATAAGCTCAAAAGAGACCAAAAGAGTGGCTTTGGTCAGTACTGTTGCCTACTTCACTCTGTAGCTTTTCCCTGACTGATGTGTACCACAACCACATACACATGCCCTCTCCCTATCTCCCCATCAAGTTGTGTTCTAAATTACAGAGGTCCAAATCAAACACTGGTAATATCAAAAGAAAAGCACGGTAGTGCATGTGAAAAACAGATGTATAACTAGATTTGCTATTGAAGTTGGCTGTGTAGCGCTTTCTCAGTATCAGCTAGCATGAGAAACAGCACCCTAGGTTCTTTCCAATAATCTGCACTCTAATCGGTTGTGCTGCTTATAACTGTTTTACACTTTAGGAACACTTAATCAAAACACTCATCCTAAAATCCTCTGCTTCAAATTGTGTGTATTTATAACACTGACAATCTTGTGAAATGGCAGTATTTTATTTAAAGGGGCTATATGTAAGTTTTTGATTTTAATAAATCAAATTTTCATTGCCTTATTGTCAATGGGCTCAAAACTCACTCAGAAATGAAGCACACACCTGTTTTCTCTGTTGCTTGTATCAGACACTATTCTGCTTTTAATGTGAGGCCTCTGGGTCGGATTCAGCCCTGTGCGCTCCCGAGCCTCTCTCAGACTACAGCACCAACACGGCAGCTAACGACATGCAGTCCACTAACACCATAAAACAACCGTCTCACAGCAAAACACAGGCTCCAGGTAAGGATACAAAACAACAATAAAGGTTTATGTGCTGAAACCCATCAGACCAAACAGGTTCAGATGATGCTGAGTAAGAACAAAGTGAGCATTAGTAAAGCTGGAGAAACACAGAGAAAGTAACACTAGCTTGCCGGCTAACGCCGAGCAGTTGCTAATGTTATCCGGTGCAAAGTTATATCGCTTTCCACATTAATTCACCAACTAACGCCACCCATGTTGCTGTCCTGTGTACCACTGTTGATTTAGCCTGCAAGAAGGGATGTAACGGCAAAAAGCAAATGTGGAGCGATTTGTTTACTAACATTAGCCTATAGTGATGCAGCCAGGAGCAGCCAGCTAACGCTACAGTAGCTCGGACCTGCCTCTGTTTGCTTCTAACGTTCAGTTTGTGTTTATTGTGGTTTTACCGATACTCAGGTACACAGCTTCTCCACCTCTCCGTCGCTATAACTAACGTGACCCCCATAACATAAAACACTGCAACAAAACGGTCACAACAACACAGAGGAAGAGCCATCCACTATCACTAGTTACAGTAAAGATACTCACTGCGGTTACCTGATATAAACTGTTATAATGTAATAATAACTGTTATAAAGTATGACACAATCTCATTATAATATCCATTCTAGCTCACTAACCGTTTCATTATGATCTAATATACAGTATGTAGCTGATATGTAGCTAGATTCACACAGTAAAGATGGTTAACGTTACTGAAAAGCAGCAGGCGAGCTAACGCTAGCACATTGGCTAAATGCAGTAAATGTAATGTTATCATGTAACGAGCATGGATTAGTTCAACCTACTGTTGATAAAACTATTACTGTAACGTTGCAGTGGGAGTTTACCTGAGTTTTTAGCTGCTGTCACTCTAAATTTTTTCGGGAGTATTGAGCCAATATGCGACTTGCTGCGCTGAATTAAAGGTATGGCGCCGGTGTTGATCTGCCTCTGAGACGGGAACATCAAAGTGACAGAGCCTGCATGCTAGTGTTCCTGTTTATTGTGGTATTTCTGTATGAAAGTGGTTGTGTTTCAGATTATGCTCGCTCGAGTTCCAGCGAGCACGCGTACGAGCACACACCTGGTTGCAATCTTAGAACCGCACCGCTAGTGGCTGCTGGAAACTCCATAATGCCCCTTTTAACAAAGTTTTTAAAATACAGATAAAAAATTATAAAATGAAATGAAGTCACCTTTAGGGTTCTAATTTATGAGTTACATTAACAAACCAAAACTTTAAACTTTAAACTACACTTGTTTCCACAGAAACTGTAAAACTGATATGTCAGGCTGTACCTTTAAGACTACTGATGGAACCTTAAAATTCCTCTGCATGAACACAAAAATCAGAGGGTAACTTAGCAAATAATATTTTTTCACATTCAAACTACAAATGAAAACTTAGCAGCAAGTACCTCAGATAACTTCAGATAACACAGTTAGCATTTATCAATAGCCACAGCAATCTACTCAGTTACTCTAACGGGCCCCAGTTAGAGTAAAAAAGTAAAAGTCGGCATGTAAGTTAGAATAAACAACCCCCCTTGCAGGCCTGAATGCAGCTTACTAGTGTGTTACTCACCAATGGTGAACAGTTCAAACAGTCTACTCTCAGTCCCAGTAATGATGATGAAGATGAGAAAACTCCTAACTCAGTCCCAGTGATGACGATGATGATGAAGAAGACAGCTTGTCTCCCTCAGAGCCAGAGGTGCACCAAGATGGGTGCACCCATGTTTTTCTGGTCACATGGGGCGCTATCTGTGGCCTTTACTATGAAGCGAGGTAACTGGCTTATCCAGGTAACTTTAGGAGTAACTTTGTGACGTCGGGTGTAACTTCCCGATTAACCTGTACTATGAAAGGTGGATATGTGTTACCTGAGGTCTGTTGCATGGCAATTTACGCTGCATCTCTAAACTTCTCTGAGCAGGTTATGTTCGTGGTTAACATCAGGTTACCCTGTAGACGTGTATTACACACCACATCTGTACTCAGTGTTAATGATGAGAAGCAGGATATTAATACACACTACTTGATAAAATATGTTTAGATTTCATCCTGACTTGTTCCACTGCGGTTGCAGCTGAAATTATGTTATTCTTAACACAACAGCATTACGTTCATACAGCGAGCCCTGCAGACTCTGTGATTTTTGGGAGGAGATCTTAATTAAATGACAAGGCAGTTTCTTAGATGTAGCCTATCTGTAGGCTGTAATTGAATTATCCTAATCTAATTTACAAGAACAACAATCTGAAATTCCCTGAAATTAAAGTCACAAAAAATCAATTTTTTTTGTGTTTTCTTCTGAATACACCCAATCCAAGTCAAAGTCTCTAAGGTGCATGATAGAAGTGATTGTGGGCTAAACTCACCTATTTCTCACTGCTAAATCCGATT